AAAACTTAAGGAGGTACTAGGCACTTTTTCTAGCAAAAGTTTGTGAAAGAGTCTTCTCTCTCGCTCTCGTCGCTCTCGCTATTCCCCCCCCCCTCCGCGTTCCCAAATTAACCGGGCAGACTGCTGGATCCCGGGTAGGATGCCGCCGCCCGGCTCCGGCGCGCCGTCAATCGACCAGCTAAACATTTAGATTTCATTAATCTGCGTGAAACGGCGGGCGCTGCGGCGGGGCGGGGCGCGGCGGGGCCACACTGCACAGCGGGGCTCCAGCGGCAGTGAACCGAATTTAGCGCCAAGTAAGAGGTTTCCTGTTCCCCAGGCGCTGGCTCACGCGGGCTGCGCGAAGCTTGCGCAGTCGGGGCGGCGGAGAGGGCAGAGTCCAGCAGCAGCAGTTAGTAGTAGTAGCGGTGCTCTCCTCCCAAACAGGAAGAGAGCCTTCCCTGGCGAGTTCGCTTTTACTCTTTAACAGAACGTGATGCAAAAACCTTTGACGTCACAGATCAAACTGAATGCAACTTGAATGCAAAAGCGCTCTCTGCGAACGTTAGTGGGCACGTTACACGGGTACTGCGCCGAGTTGTTTAACGTGCGCTTCACTTTGCTGGCTGGGGTGCGGCTGACGTCTGGGTCTGGCAGGCGGGCGTCGGCGCGGCAGAGGTACTTTCTTCGTCCTGCTCTGGTTTAGGAATTCATCGATTCCCCCGCAGAAAAGGGTTTCGCAGCGAGAACGGGCAGCGGGCCTCGGACGAGGGGAGGAGAGGAGGGGGCAAGGGGAGCTAGGGAGGTTGCAGAGGGGGGGTGGGGAGCAGGAGGTAAGGGCTGCGGCCTGCCTCTTCCGGGACATTGAGCGCGCTATGGGAGGCGGGAGAGGCTCTCTCTCTCTCTCTCTCTCTCTCTCTCTCTCTCTCTCTCTCTCTCTCTCTCTCTCTCTCTCTCTCCGCCCCTCTCCCTTCATCCCGCATTTTCTTGCTGTCTCTTTCTCTCCCTCCCTCTTCCTCACCTCTCTCCCTCTCTCACTCAGCATGAGCCAGGCCAGAGCTCACTCCAACAGCCGCGGATAAAAGAGCCTAACTCCTCGGCAAACCAACTGATGGCAAATGGGTGGCTCCGGACTTGCATTCTCTCCCCACGTAACCCTACCCCTATTCCTAACCCCCGCCCGCTTTGCCTCTGTTATTGGCATTGTTAAGCCAATCAAAAATCGTGATGACACAGAGGACTAAGGATTTAGGATTTACCTATGTGCTTGTGACTTCACAAGCGGCTAGTGCCTACAGGGAAACGGAGGCAAAACGCACTCCCCACAATTTACGTTTTGAGTACGACTACTAAACGCAACTCCCAGCTTCCTCCATCCCTTTCACACGCACGCACTCTCACTCTCTCATTTCCAGTCCCCCTATCCCTCCCACACACACGCTCGCGCTCTCGGGCACACACAGCGTTAGGTCGTTTAATTGAAGTTTGGTGAGTGTTATTGTTTTCAAGTGCGCCCGAGCCAGACAATGAGAGGAACAAGATGCAGCTTTGGGTTTAGCGCCATGCTGGATCACGGCCAAAAGTGGAGCAGTGGGTGGGGGTGGGGAAAAGTAGGGAGGGAAGTGAGAAAGAGGGGAATGGGTCGGGCAGACACAAACCGGCCGTGGAGCTAGCTCTAGGCAGCCAGTGGTATGCACCGTGAGGTGGGTGGTTGTCGGGGTTGGGCGTGGGTGGTACCTATCACCCATTTAAAAAAACAACGAGTAAAAAATTACATTTTTTTATATCAAATTTTTTAATGCTGTGTATTCTCTCATTGTTTTGTTTGGATTTTAAACTTTATTGTTTGTTTTTTTTCGTTT